AGGCATAGCTGGGGGATGATATCAGGGCTTCCCAAAGCAGGTCCTTGTCATCACACCCCCGAAGTGTCTACAGGGACAATAGCCAGAGCACAACACTCCCAGAGAGCCTAGCACCAGGGAGATTGGAGCAGAGGCCCAGACTCACAGCACCAAGGTGATAGACTTGGTAGTTCCAGAGGCAGTGAGATAAGCTGACCTTTGTCCTGGTCCACATGTGTCTGACTTGAACCAGGAAGGAGAGGAGAATGTGGCACTCCTTTCCTGTGACACTCCTCCCGCTCGGGAGAAGGTCTGTCTCTGCTCTCCCAGAGTGAACCACTCAGGACGAGCCAGTTTTTCTGTCCCTGGAGTTGTGCTGACTTTTGCAAAGCTGACCACAGAATAAACTGCCTCCCGGGTGGCCTTTTTTTATTTTGATAATGGTAAACTGGAGACAAGCAAATACTCCTACGAAAACAATCTAACAATAACAGCAGCTAGAAATTATTGAACAATTACACATCAGGGACTCCATTATAAATAACATACAATGTGCTTTATATATGTTGTGTTATTTTCATCCTCAAAACACTGAAAGCTAGCTATTATTATTATTCTAATTTTATAGATAGGGAAACTGAGGCCCCAGAGATCAAATAACTTGCCAACAGTCACTTTATCACTGAAGTGGTAGAACCAAGAAACAAACTGAGTCTGTTTTACTCCAGAACCCAGCTTCTCATTGACCACACTGAACACCACCTACGTCACCTCAAAGGGAAGCCACTGCCATTGGGCCTCTCTGCTCTTACAGTCTTTCAGTATTTTTACGCAGAGTCTGGGCCGAGTGTGTAGCTGTGTATGGGCTCCTGCCCTTTCACCCCCTCCTGCCCTGGCAATCACAGACTCAAACTGCTGGCAGCATCCAGGGAGTGGTGAGTGGCTGGGGTCCCCTGGTGGGGCCTTTTGGCCTAGACAGCCCTTGGCGGATCTCAGTGTGTTTGTCAGCATATTCTGACCTGGCATGTTGTACATTTTAGATGCCACACAGGAGTCATATTTGGGGCTTTGGCCTTCACCCTTTTATTTTTTTTATTCAGGTATAAACAAGTACCCTACATGTTTTTGCACATACTAATGGTTTCTTCACTGATTTAAGCAGAGGAACCTCTTTACATGATTGATGTCACTTGATAAAGTAGACTCTTAGAAGCCGTGTCTCTCCAGGGACTGGCTCCCAAAATAAACCTCTGCCCTGGCTGGGAGAGTTTCTCCCTCACCCTTCCCAGCCCTGCTCTGCTAATCACCACTCTGTTGCTTCCCTTCCACTCTCCCCATTATTGCCAACCCCTTCCCCTTTTTAATTGCCTGCCCACAGCTGACGGTCATTTCAGGCTCCATTTAATCCTGCCTCCCCAGGAGTCTGTTTGGACAGCCCCACACTGCTGGCTCCTTCATCCAACCACCAGCAGCGCTCCACAGCCTGGTCCTCAATGATTTTCCCATTGTGCCCCTTGGCCACAGCTAAATTACCTTCTTCTCTCAGTTTGCCATCTCTTCACCACATCACATTTGATTGTGTGTCTGCTTCTCTCTATTACTCTTATAGTGGAAAGGCTGGAAATGAATAAAATAATTGACGAGTGCTCTGCCTGGTACTGGGGAAATGAGACTGATTACTGACTCCTTTATTCCAGATACTTGACTTCTAGACTTTTCCACATGATTCCAGTGCCTCAATCTGAGGTCACCCAATGCCAGATGTTCAAGTGCAAAAGACATACTGCTGTACTGGTAGCAACAACAGGGCTTCCCCAAACCTTCCAGCCTTTCTCTGAGACAAGTCCCAGTGAGATCATCACAATCGCCCTTCCTAGAATCTCCCACCTTCTCTGTTCTCACAATCAAGGTGTCACATTCAGCCTCTCAAATCGCAAAAACTCAAGCAAAATACATGGTGGGATATAGAGATGTCCTTGGGACACGTGTGCAGAAAAAGGGGAGACATTGGCTCTTTTCTGTGTTCCCTCCTTCCAACCAGCCAGCAGATCTTCCAGTGTGTCCCTAATATGGTCCCTGGTGGCCTCCAGGGAGCAGCACTGACTTCCCACCCTTCTGCTGTGGCTCTTAGAGTCTGGAGGCTGGGCCATCCAACAGCCCAGCCTCAGAGCAACTGGGCGAACTGGACCCTGCAAGGTCCTCCAAAGAGATGAGAAAACATCCCCTCTGCTCTTACTTACTGGTCCACATGAGCCCTAACAAATGATTATTTTTATTATTGATGCACTATTAAGTGAACTACTGACACAAACTACTGTTCTTATCATTTGCTGTCACTCCACTTAAAAAGAGGGGTGGCTGGGAGCTAAGAAGAGACACCATTCTCTGTCTTTCTCTCTTCCCTCCCCTCCAACAAGCCTTCTCAAAACATTTTTACCCATGTTACACTACTTCAACAACTTGGCAGTTTGGCTAACTCCCTCTAATTTGTACACATTTGAGATGTGATGCTCTGGGTGTGGCAGGTATGGGGTGGGGGGAGTTTGTCACCTGAAGTATCAAATTGCTCAGAGAAGATCTGTACTCATTTAGACTGAAGAAGTGGGGAAGTGGGATATATGATAATGAAGCTCTCAGATGGGGGCCCTGTTGGGCAGAGAAAACCAGCGCCTCAAGGGGCGAGCACAGCCATACTTGGAGCCCCCTGAGGACGGGAATGGCATTGGCTTCAGGTGTTTACCAGGTGGGTCCCCGTGAAGTGCTGTGATTCCTGGGCTGGGGAAGGCATAGCACCCACCTGCCACCACCAGCACCCATGCCCACCTGCCCCCAGCAATGCATGTAATTGTTCTAACAGGAACAAAGCATTTAATCCCACACATGTAAGTAGGATTTAGAAATTTCAAAAACAACATGGTTTCTAAAGAGAAGAAATTTATAGATTGAGTTTAAAATGGAAGTATATTCAGGGAGGCAACTGGAAGAACCTTCCTGGGAAGATCTCAGGCCAATGATCCCCTGGAGAAAGAAATATATACGTTTTTTTTCACATTCCATAAAAATGACAAATACAGCTTTATTTGTGAAGTGCAGCCTTTGCTGTGAGGAAAAAAAAAAAAAGAAAGAAAGAAAGGTTGTGAGCTAATTCTGGACTCTTAAAAGAGAGAGGGAGCTATTTGAGACCAGAGCACTAACCGGGTGGAGAGAGAGTGACCCCTGACCTCAAAGAAAAAGCTGATATTTGTCAAATACCCAATGAAATGCCCCTGTTGAAAAATGAATAGGTTTCTGATGCACATAAGAGCATGATAGGTTGTATTTATTTCAGTCGATATATAAACAGATGTTTTATATTATTCTCCATACTTGTCTATTATTTCAGGTATTTTTATAGTTAAAAAAGTGTACTTTACAAAATAAAAGTTGTAAAATAAAAGTTCCCATTAATGCAATGAAAAACTGTAGCTGCTACCAATAAAATAATGATTTTTAATTGAGGAAGACCTCTTATGTGTTCACATGGAAAGATCACCAGGAAACATTTTAGAGTGAAAGAAAGCAAGTTTTAAAATAGTATGTCTTACCCAGTCCTATCTGGATGAAATACTTTTTTAAAATTTGTGTGTATATGTCTTGCTATGTGTATAGAATTAAATCTAGAAGAGGAAACAAATTACTCCCATGAATGGGAATTATTATGGACATTCCATATGATATGAATTTTTATGATAAGCATTTATTACTTTTATAATCATAGAAAGCAGCAACATGGCCCCCAAGCTGTTCCAGGACAGCAGGCTGCCCAATGGGCCAGCGTCTGGAGTTTCCACCTGCCCTGTCCTTGTCTAGCCTCTTTCCTGATTTGACCCTTGGATGCCTGAGTGAGGGGCCGTGACAGATGCCAGCAGTGGTGGTGATGACAAGCCCCAAACCACATTTGTTCCATGATTTCCAGCTCCTCACTGTCTCTCCAGCCTGCAGGGTGAAAACTCCTCTCTCTTATCTGCTCAGAGCAGGAGTCAGAAGTTCTTGTCGGTGTGACTGCAGAGCACTGGGCTGGAAACTTCCTGATAACACCCAAATTCCTTCAGAAGAGCTAGGCCTGCAGTCAGGCCAGATGAGTGATGCAGCCCCAGCACATCTTACAAAGTGCAGTTGGATAATAAACCAGATGTAATTGAGTAGTTAAGAACCATAAGGGACATACAAAGATGTCATTATAGTCCTGTCTGGTCTGAGAACCCCTCTCCCTAAGCTAAGGTACCTGTCCTGCTCCAAAGTCCACATGGGCTGCTGAGGAAGCAGTTCTGCATGTGAGCGCCAATGTGGATTCCAAAATAGACACAGAGATATGAGGAATTGAAAGAAAATTTAAATACTAGGCAATTAAAGGTGATCCTGACTTTTCTGAGACACATTTATGGCTCTTATAAACAGATATGCATTAATTGAATGGGGCTTTGGTACACCCTGGTGACATTAACTAATTCTGACATTCAGGAATTTAAAGTTAGTAGCTGTCTTACTAACTTATCCTGTTAGCAGAGTTTGCTAAACATTTCGTGCTTTGTGTGCTCTGCTTTGTACTGAAGATGATGCACATGACCCACTGTCATCTCAGTTCTTCTCTCATTGTGAGACTGAGGGAGACGGGCATCCTCCCAGGGCTTGCTCCATTGGCCTCAGTCCACGTCCAGTGGTCCCTTTTCCATCTTTCCTCTTTCCTGATTTGGTTTCAGAAAGATATGGGTTCGCAAAGAAAATGTTCAGGAACGGATAAACCTGAAAATAAAGTTTAACAAGTAATGTAACTCATTCTTTCCCTGCCAAACATTACTTTTAAAAACCCAAGTTCCCATACGGAGTAAATAGAGGAGAAATGAAATAATTTAAAATTCATTTTCACTCTTCCCTTGAACTGGATACAGAACGAAGAGCTAATCCTGATGGGGAGGGGAGTAACCCATTGAAACATTTGATGTATCTAAGCCACTGACCCAGTTTTGGATTTTATCCCTCAGGTAACCAGGTGACTTTCTCCAAATCTACAGATGCATTTGCCTTCGAGGAAGACAGCAGCAGCGATGGACTTTCTCCAGATCATACTCGAAGCGAAGACTCCCAGGGCCCAGCAAGATCCCCTCCAGACACTAAAGCTAAGGAGACCTCTTTGGCAGGTCCTCCGGGTACAATACAGGTAAACTAACCACACCTCAGCCTGTCATCTCTTCAGCCTTAAAATCAACACAGTTTTGATTTGAGATTCAAAAGTATCTCTTGACAGCCTATTACCTCGGTGCCTCTCCTCACACTTTTGTGTCCAGGGTTCTGTGTATAGTGGCAAAAACCTCCAGAAAGCCCTGAGGGGGAATCCCAGGACCATCTCCTTTGACTTAATTTACGAGCATCTACTCTGCCAAGTAGCTGCCCTTTATCTCTATTTTTATAGGGAAAATAAACATGAGGTTTACTGAGATTAGATGCCCCACCAACCATGTCCTAAACAGAATGTGCCCGAGCAGGACTGGTTTCAAAGCCCAGCCTTTCCACACAGGGAACAGTCACTAGAGGTGCTGGACCACAGAATGGAGGTCCACGCAGGTCCTGCTGTGAACAGGTTCCTACCTGCCAAACTGCTGCAAGGTCCACTTCCAGCCCCAAACCCAGCACAGCACTCACCTTTTTCTGGAGAGAAACTCTTAAAATGTGAAGAAGGTGTATTGAAAATATTGTGAAAAGCACATTTATAAAGAACTGTGATGATTACTAATAGCAGCCATGGGCATGTGTTAAGGGCTCACTGTGTGCCAGGGTCAGCGCTAGCTAGTTCATATGCATTTTCTATTGGCTACCACAGGACCCCAGGCAGGGAGCACTGATGCTGATTCTGGCAGGAGAGGAAGTAAGGCCACTCTGCAAGGCTATGGAGCTGGGTGGTGTGCAGGACACTGCTATGCCCCTGGCCCCTGGAGCTGGCCCTCTAGAAGCCACCAGGCTTACCAGCATTTTCCTCAGCTGGCATGCTGGTACTCATGGAGCCCTAAGAGCAGGTGTCAGAGTGCCCACACATGAGGGGCAGGACACCCACTGGTGTGGCCATGAGATGGAGGGCTTCCAGCCCTGGTTCTAGGGCACACCCACTCTGGGGAGAAGCCTCCAGACCTTCAGTTCCTGCCCTTTAGCCAGAGTTCACTCCTCCCAGCCTCACAGGAATTATAAGATGGACTGAAATTAGACATTACATCTGAAAATACTTTTTTACACCATAAAGCACCATTCAGTTATCAGGGACAGTTTGGTAATTTTCATCCAGGGCCTTGTTTCCCAAAATGGTGCCACTTACTGGTCACTGTCACACCCTGCTTTCCTCCATGGGAGCAAAGCTGAGGCTGCCAAGGAGAAAGTGTGGAAAGGGAAGAACAGGGAGACATAAAAAGCAGAGCCAAAATATGCACACATCTACTGTGCAGGAGCTGGTAATCAAAGCGCTTTTCCTTGCCCTGCCTGCCACAGCCAGTCTCCACAGCCAGACCTCTCTGATAACATCAAAGAGTCTTTCAGACCATTTGGACTATTGTTCTGACAGCAAATTCCTTAGCCTCTGATGTAAGAATGGTTTGAGGAGAAGACAAGTACTTTTCTGCTGAACCCTAGAGAGGGGAAGAAGGGAACACTGAGTAAAGCCAGACAAAAGGCAAGGATCATTTTGTCCTTTTACCTGGAAACCCCACACAACAGATTGAGACACTGAGGCTCTGGAGGAATGGGTCTTGCAGACCTTTGCTTGCAGGCACCAGAGTTCAGGGAAGGGCTGTGCAGTCCCAGGCAGAGATCCTGAGAAGCCCCTGCCCCTTTTTGTCAACGTCACAGCATAGGAATGAAGGAAAATGGGAGAGAAGATGATTATATTTCCTTCCAAGTCTTCTTCTTACAGAAGCATTCCTCTCACAAAGATTTGTCCTGACACTACAGGCACTCACATGCACACACACCTGCATGTATATGAGTGTACACATGTGCATATGAACACACACAAACACACACATGCACTGAGGCATGCGCACCAAATATACACACATACACACACAGACACACTACAGATACACACGCACATGCACATGCACAGAACACATCATATATCCATACATAGATATGTATACATACATCCTATATCTATACATGCACATGAATATACACATGCATGCTACACAGAGACACACAGCTATGCATAGAACACACATGCACACATACACACTTGTTGACAGAGATGCACATGCACACACATTTTTTTCTCCATCTGCAAATACCCTGTTGTCTACTTGTTGTCCCACTTTCCTCACCGTTCTTACACCCACCCATCCCTCTCCCTTTCTTTTAATCCCATCACCAAGTCCAACAGGCAGACCTTTTCGCAGAGAGGAGGAACCCTCACACAGGCTGACAAACATCCCAATTGGTCAAGAATAGGCCAGTTCCATACTTGTCTTGTGGATTACTAATAATGACCCCTTTCTCTCCTCAAAATGTCCTCAAATGACATTTTGGTTGACAAGTTGTATATGTGACTCCTTCTCCTGGAGGAAGTAGTCTTCTATGTACTTGGATATGAAGCTAGGGTTAAAACAGTAGAGCTGTGGGGTAGGGGGGGAGGCTGTGCTCTATCATTTCTCTGTCACACAGTTGTTACTTTTATATTCTAATAATGCTAAAATTTGGATTTCAGGATCTCACTTCTGGCTCAGAAAATGACAGGAATGACTCAGTCTCACAGCCCAGCAACCAGTCAGATGCAGGGAAGCAGGGGCTTGGGCCCCTCAGCACCCCCAACCCTGTACATGCTGCTGTCAAGGTATGGACGGGCTAGTCTCTGAACCCTGCCTGAGAGCTTGCTCACTGAGCCATCTCTGAGCAGGCACTGAATTAGGTCTGGCAACACAAGGAGAGTCACTCTGACTCATGAATAGCTTAGTCCACTAGGAACATCACGTGACTAGAGTTGAGCCATGGGCCACCAGTGAGTATGGACCAAGATCCTATTACCTATGCAGCATCACATGGGTCGTCCCTGCAGAGAAGAAACCTGTGTGTTTGCATTTCTTTGGAACCACAGCTCAGCTAGTATATTCCTGAGTGAAAAGACTTCATAAGCTCATCCTGGAGATGGACACAGCTGATTATATGCACACAGAATTTGTAAGGGCCATGAAATCAGTGTAGGGGAGCTGACTTTTATGCAGAGGAGGCAGACCTGAAGGCCTTGCACAGGTAAGATCTGTGTCATCCAAGCCAGTCTCCATTCAGAAATACAAGTAAAGGCAAGGATTTTATTCACAGAAGACACATAACTCAAGCATTATAGCATATTTTTGGTTTAAGTTTCTCATTACTATATTTAATAGTTCACAGAGTGTTCTCTCCTCAATTAACTGTACAATAGTCATTTAGCCTTCTCCTTAATATTTTATGTCATAGGATTTCTCATTGACTTGGGATCATGTCTTCTCACCTCTAGTACCACCACTTATGGAGTACTGAAATGACTCTTAGGAAATATTTTTTTAGTGATTGTAAACTGAATAAGAATCATTGTTGAAGTAATAGCCCCCTAGTCCCTTCCACAGCATACACAAAGGTGACTGGCAGGTCTACTCGGCTGCCCAGTAGAGGGCCCCCACCAAAATGCAGTATCTTAAACCCAGCTTACAATTCATTCAGCTCAACAGCTTTGAAATTATGTGATTACTGATGACATTTGTTCATTGCAGGGGGAAAGAGGGAAAGCTTCACATTATTTCCAATGTTGTGTACAAAGAAATTTTATTAACACTTCTACCATAGTATTAAAATTTCATGATTCACATTAGCAAAACCTTCAGCCTCAGTATAGTAAGAGAATGTGATCATTGCCCTGAGGAAGGACAGGTCAGCTTTAATAAAGAGCAGGATTGGCTGTTCATGTTCATGTAAGAGCCAATATTTTCTGATTGCTCCATGCCTGCGAACTCTCAGTTGTCCGATATTCATCATCTCCAAATTAGGAAGATACTACAGGGGGCTTCTCAAAGAAGGAGGCAATTGAGCTGGGGAAACCACCCTGCCCTGGTGACTCCGTAAGGTTCATGTGAGGCCAATGATGGAATGAAGAGGAGTGCTCTGAAAACTGTAACATCTCTTATGTGGTCAGTGAGCATCAAAGCTGCATAACACAGGACTCCTGCCCTCCAGGAGCCCCCTCCAGGAGCCTGTAGTCCAGTTGGGTATCACAGCCACTCAGTGTTTTTAGAAAGTAAGAAAAATGTGCCCCAAAGGACTTGGCATTTATCCAAAGGTAAAGAAATTGCCAATAATCACATAAAAAGGTATTCAATGTCATTAGTCATCAGGAAAATGCAAACCAAAACCACAACAAAATATCATATCACACACACCAGAATGGCTATAGTCAAAAAAAAAAAAAAAAAAAGAAAAGAAAAGAAAATGGCCAGTGCTGACAATGTGGAGAGGGGAACTCCCTTACACTACCGGTGGAGATGTAGAACGGTACAGCCACCCCGGAGAATGGTAGTAGTTCCTTAATTAATCCAGGTAGAATTACCATGTGACTCAGTTTCCACTCCTGGGTATGTGCTCACAAGAACTGAAAACAGGTGTTCAAACAAAAACTTGTACATGAATATTCATAGCAACACCATTCACAACAGTCAAAAGTTGAAACTAACTCGTCAGACAGCAAGTGGAGGCGGGAGCTGTACATAGCAGAAAATTTCAGGGAGAAGAGGCAGGAGGAGTGAGCTGTTGGAGAGGGGAGGTTAGGCCATTTGGTGAACAGTCTGCTTTGGCAGACTGGAGTGTGCGGCTCTGCCTTGCAGAACAGAAGGCAGCCTGGCTGCTGTGCGGCATGGCAGCCCCAGTGTGTGTGTGCAGCTTACAATGAGAATACCTTTGAGATTGCAGGCCACATGGTTCCCTGTCACATTAACCTGCTTTACACATTGACACCTAGATCTTAAGCCACTGGACTTTGGATGCACCTCTGCTTTAGAAAAATGAGTGTTCTCTCCTTAGATCAGCCATGCAGTTCTGGGTAGGAAACAGAAAAACAAATCCACAACCTTACTATCCTCTGGTCTCAGAAAGAGGGGAAACTACACAAGTCCATAAATTCAGAATTCCAGGTGTTCAGTAGACTTTGCCTCACTATGCAGAGAAAATGGTCTGATTCTAGTATCTTTGGGATGGCTCAGTCCTTGTGCTAAGGCAACATGAAGAGTAAATCCTTTAGCTAGGCCCAGGGCTGCAGCTCCCAGGGACAGGGCAAGTCCTAGCATGAGGTAGAAACAGAAGCTGAGCTGGAGCAAAGCTGGCAGAGCTGAGACTGCAGGGCCCGCAGAAACCTTCCCAGGTGCAGAAGTCAGACTCATTAACTAAAATATTCTTCAATTAATGAGCAGGGAGAAGTACATATGCTCACTATTTATTAGCCTCCAAGGAGCAGCCTCCTTGAGAAAAATACAAAAGAGGCTTCGGTGGTGGGATGTGCTGAGTCAGAGAAAACCCAGCGGTCTGCTCCTTTGGAGAGGTCACTTTCAGATGTGTGTTTTGTGGTTAAAATGGGGATGCTGCCCAGTCAGAACACAACTGCCAGCTATTCAGGAGCCCCCTCTTCTGGGCACTGCTGGTAACTCACTTTCCCTCCAGCTTTTCCCTGAAGTCTCCAGTCTTCTGTCCTGACATCCATGTTCTTCATTTCAACCTTCTGAAATACAGTCAAGGTTTGAAAATTTATATTTTTCAACTGATCACAGTATGGACCTATTGCTTCCTAACATATGTTGGAGGGCTTTTGATTTTAGGAGCAGGTAATAGATGTAATCACACTGTCTTCTGAGACCTATTATTATTATTTCAATGTTATCTAATATTGCCCTTATCTTGATCACTGAGATAGAAAGTAGAGAATGTTTTCCCCAACTTGCAGGTAAGGTAACTAATATGTAGTAATGTAATTGTACCACGTTCAGATATTTCTCTTAGCTTCCTAGCCTGTACCCTTCACTTCTTTCAATGTGTCCAAATCATGCTCCACAAAGGGTAACTTCCGGAGGGACCCTGGTATGTGGTAAACCCTTCCTGTAGTGAATATAGTGTCATTAGTTCAGAGGGTATCACTTCCTGATTTTATACCAGGGTTTGTGGGTGGAGTGGGAGAGACATTCTATCTTACTTTTTAGCAACAAAGCTTCTCATTCTGGATTTTCAAAGACAAGATTAATGTCATCTAAGTTTATGTCATATCTAAGTCAATTTACTAAGTGCTTAAGTAACTGTGATTACATGTGTACATATGAAAGAACCTTCTTATGAGTCAATCCCAGGATCAGAATGCATCCTTTATTAGGCCATCAGCTAGCTAGAAGTGAGGAAAGTGTTCTTCCTCACTGAAACCCAGACTTAATCTTACTCTACTCAAAGAAGAAAATACTCCAGGAACCACTTCTGAGATTCAAGACTCCCCACCTAAGGGGTGTACTCCCAGTGTATTACACTTGTAATGGGTTTGTTTAGTAGACAGTCTGATGTCCTGGAGATTGCACATTGTGCCTTTGCCATTCTATATGTCTGAGATTCAAGAACATCTGTCAGACAAAACCTCCTTGCAGTATACCCATAATGCCAATCATTCCCACCTGAAGCACATGCATGTCTTTATCCTTTTGCAGTCCAAGTCCTTGAGTGACAGTAAGAACCGCCACAAAAAGCCCAAGGACCCCAAGCCAAAGGTGAAGAAGCTGAAATATCACCAGTACATCCCCCCAGACCAGAAGGCGGAGAAGTCGCCTCCGCCCATGGACTCGGCCTATGCTAGGCTGCTCCAGCAGCAGCAGCTCTTCCTGCAGCTCCAGATCCTCAGCCAGCAGCAGCAGCAGCGGCTCAGCTACCCTGGGGTTCACCACGCACAACTCAAGTGAGTCAGGAAGGTGGGGGTTGGGAGCTGGGCACGGAGGGTGGGATGGCTTCTGTTCATCTGAGGAATCATGGGCTAGCACGTTGAGATCCAGTGAGTTCCATAGTGCATCATGTCCTCCTCTGGAACTCATGGTATGTGTAGGATATGACTGTTCAGAAACCACACACACCTTTTCAGGAATGTAAGGTCAGGAGGGAGCAAGTAAATCAATGCCACTGAATCAGAGGCCTGCTTGGGAAAAAGGGAGGTATGAGCACTTGCAGACTTAACTGTGGAACCAAGAGGAGAAACCATTTAAGAATGTATGCTGGAATTGTGGGCAATTCCAATACAGGTTACATTTCTTAAATGGGCTCAGCACTTGTGTTTTAGGAAGCAACAAAGCTGAGTGACTGAATGATAACCTCAAAGACTGACTTCCTTTTTTTCTTGTATTATAATGTTGTACACCTGAAAATTATATAATGTTATTAATCAATCTTACCCCAATAGATTTAATTTAAAAATATACAAACTCAAAGAAAATCCATAAAATAATATTTATCTCTAGCTAGTGACATTATGAATATTTTTTTCACCACTTAAAATCTTTTCCTTTCCTCCACAAATTTTCTAAAATAAAGATGTATTACTTATATAATGAGAAAAAAAAAGAAAACTGACTCCTGAGCCCCAGGGTGTGACCTCCACACCAGGTCACCTTTTCAATGGACAGTCTCCTCCACTCTAAACCTGAAAGGTGGGTTTCAGCTGCCTCTTGGTTCAGCCTTGGGTGAGGTAGGTGATTATGCTAAGGACAGTCTCCTGGGCATGCTTCTGCCTCCATGAGAGTGCACCTGCTAAATCATACATGGATATGTCTTGCTCACTTGCCAGAGTCTCCACCACTCCCTGCTGTCTCCCCCAAACTCAGCTTGAGTCTCTTTTGCCACCTGCCATATCACCTGCTGGGGTTTTCCTCACCCTGTCTCTTCTGCTGACTTACTACTTTCCTGATCCTGGTAGACAATTAACCTGTGATCTGATCTAAATACAGAATCCCCCTAAAGGTCCTGGTCACCCAATTCCAGTGTGTGGGGGAGGTTTCCCTCACATCACCAAGTGATTCTCCAACATCAGCTGGGTGTCCAACAATTCAACTTAATTCTGACACTAGCTCCCTGAAAATAGTATCAAATTACACAGGCTAAGGGCTCAGTCCTACAAGACTGCCACCCTCACCCCCTCAAGATGCCAATTACAAGTCACCTGGGCTTATGGTCAACCAACTATAGATCAGAGTTTCCCATGACCTCCTCTTTGGGTTTGATTAGCTTGCTAGAGAGGCTCATGGAACTCAGAGAAACATTTTACTTACCAGATTACTGGTTTGTTATGAAAGAATATAACTGAGGAAACAGCCAGATGGAAGAGATGCACAAGGCAAGGCATGAGGAAAGGGTGTGGAGCTTCCATCCCTTCTCCAAGCCGGCCACTCTCCCAGCACCTCCACGTGTTCATCAACCCAGAAACTTTCTGACTCCCAAGCTTTTGGGTTTTTACAGAAGCCTCATAACAAAGTCACAACTAATTAAATCATTGGCCATTGGTGAATTCAATCTCCAGTCTGTCTCCCCCACCTGGAGGTCAGGTCGGGTGGGAAGAAAAGGTTTAACCCTCTAAATGCATGATGGATTCTCTTGGCAACCAGCATCCCTCCTTAGATAGAGTCCAAAAGTCACCTCATTAATATGACAAAAGATACCTTTGTCACTCACTACTTAGGAAATTTCAAGGATTTTAAGAGCTGTAAGCCAGAAACCATATGAATACCAAATATATATGGTTATTTCTTACAAATCATAATATCAAACCTACATATATAGATTTGACTATATTTTAAATGCCTCTTTTTTGTTTGTTTTTCAGGGAACCAAATGAACAGATGGTTAGAAATCCAAACTCTTCTTCTACACCACTGAGCAATACCCCTTTGTCTCCTGTCAAAAACAGTTTTTCTGGACAAACTGGTGTCTCTTCTCTCAAACCAGGCCCACTCCCATCAAACCTAGATGATCTGAAGGTATAGGATTTGGCATAGTTTTCTTCTTTTTTCCTTTTTAACACATACATCAATCAGTACATTGGCAATAACATTCTGACCAACTGATTTCTTGTATAGAAGAGCAGTTTGGAGAAGCACATGGGAGAGACTCAAGGAGGTGAGAGTGTTAACTGCTGGGGTTGAAGACCCCTCTCAGCACTATTGCTGGCCATGTGGCCTTGGGCTAGTTTCTTAACTCTATTGAACCTCAGATTCCTCATTTGCATAAGTGATTGTGAAAATCAAATGCAATCATATATACATGATACAGCCTAGCCCAGAGAGTAGCTGTGGGGCTGACATGAGCTCTCAGTCAGAGGTTAGTTCCTTGGTGACTTTTCACCAAAATGATGAAATTAGAAAATAAGAACCATGTGGAGGGCTTTTCATAAATCTAAGTATGTTCAACAGATCTGACTAATCTTTATTCAAAGTACATATTTTCTCCCACTGTTTTGAATGCTAAAAGATACTTTCCAGTAGGAAATGATGAGAATAGATGAAAGTTGAGTGTTTCTGGGAGTGTTGTGTTTCTTTTTATTAAAAGAAATGTCATTAAGTAAGGATGTTAATCTTTATTTATCAAGATAAAGATAAAGTATTGGTAACTCGTATCCATTATGTGACTTAACACAATGTACTATTTTAGGAAATCCCCCAAACTGAGACCTTCTGAAATGTGCTAGTGATTTACTCTGGCTCACAGAGCACAAGGACCTCAGGTTACTGAAATGACCCTGAGCTTTCAGTTGAACCCAGTGTGCTTCGCAGCGATGCTCAGGACTGCATGCGTGTTCATCCACTATTCACAGAAGAACTGGAAATGATGAGTGCAGTACCTTCAACTTCTGTAATGTGTGAGCACCCGTGCTCCCTGCAATGCCTCACTCCATTTTCAGTGATTACCCCTGTTTACCTGCTTCCGCCTCATCAACTATTCTCCCCCAACAAAGGACCTTGTCATTAATTCCAAAAACCTAAATTCATAAAAGTCCCCATGGTCTTCACTGTGCCAGTGTGACAGACCTTTCTCAGCCTTCACTTGCCACTCTCATTCCCATTCTCAGCAATTATCTTCTTTGGGGGGAGGTAGGATGAGATCATTTCAGAGGAACGATCCATTAAAGGAAATTCTATGGCTGTCAAGTGCCAATACCAGGAAATAAAATGTATCTTGGTTCCTCTATTCCTTCTATTTGAGTACAAGAGCTTAGGTTTGAATTTGTCACCCATAACCTGGAAGAAGGTGCTGAGCATATGATAATACTCTCCATAGCAGTAGGTTACTACCTTCCACTCCCCAGATCATAAATCCATAGAGGTAAAAACAGGCTCTCTCACTTTGAAAATAATATTACACTAAGTGAAATAAGCCAGATACAAATAAAAAAGGCAATTATTGAATGAGTATACTTCTACGAAGTACCTAGAGTAGTCAAATTTGGAGACACAGAAACTGATGGTGGTTACCAGGGGCAGGTGAGGTGAGAATGGGGAGTTAGTGTTTAATGGGGACAGAGGTTCAGTTTGAGATCATGAAAAGGTTCTGCAGGGGGATGGTGGTGATTTTTTCCCAACAATGAACTGTACATTGAAAAATGATTAAGTGGTCAATTTTATGTTATATGTCTTTACCACAATAAAAAAATATTTCATTTTTAAAGTAGTCTACCTCTGGATGGGAACCTGGGTCAGGTAGGACTGGAGATGCCTTGGCCCCAGAACAAATATAGTCCAGGTGTGACATGCCATCTGTCAGAACCCCCAGCATGGTGTCCACAGGGTCAATGGCTGGTTGTAGCCATAATAATTAGCATAGGTATTAGGAGATGATGATGATGATAGTGACAACTACCATTTTTTAATATAAACTATTAGTCATCCATTCTATTTAGATTTGTTTTAATTTTTATGCTGCAAGATAAGTTTTAAATGTGAACATAAAAATCAAAATCTTAAAGAGGTTCAATAATATGCAAGTTAACCAGTTAATAAATGACAAACCTGGACTTGAACTTAAGTGACTGATTTCAAAGGCTTTGCTACTTCAAAGGGAAGGGACAGACAGAAGAAACCTTAACTGCATTTCACCACTGTGTGTGTGGGAGAGGGTAGAGGAAGAAACCTTCATCCAATGCACCTGGGAGAGTTACACCAGCAGCAAAAATTGGGATGGTAGCTTGAGGAGCTGATCTGAAGGGGCGTTGGCAAGTTCATGCAGTCTGGGAAAATTGAGTTGCAGGTACCAGCAGGACAATGTAGAGAAAAAGTTATCTGCTTTCCATCTGTTATGAATATACCAACCTGGCTGGGCTCAACAGTGTTGTCAGGGATAGGCACAGAAGTCTGGGGATTGTTTTCATAGTGGGGAGTGTTGAAACTGGAAGAGTGGATGAGATGGAAGAGCAAAATGAAAAGAGGAGAGAAGGGTGGATGGGGGAGAAAAGGAAGGAGAGAAGAGGAATAAGGGAAGCAAGTGATGTGATCACACTTTGGGAAAGGAAGAAATAAGAGAACTTAATGCAGGTGACCCTCCAAAAAAGTAATCAGAAAGGTAAGACAATGAAGAGTTTGGTTTCTCACTAAACACTTATAAGCAGTAATATCCCAGTCCATTTTTTTTTTGTTTTTGTTTTTGTATCCAGTTTCTAACAAACTGGGAGAAGAGAGAAAGAGAATGTGAAAGTGAGTGGGAAGCTTAAAGACTGGAGCAACATTCGATGGATATTAAGAAATAATGGTTCATATTTTTAGATGTAATAATGGCATTATATCTGTGTTTCTTTAAAGTACACAATCTTTTAGAGATAAATGCAAAAATATCTACAGATTAAATTAAATGATTTGCTACAACATAATTCAGAATGCATAAAGGAAGATATGGTTTGCATATAAATGAAACAAGATTGGGCATGAGGGCATGAGTTGCTGGTTGTTGAGGCTGGGTGATGGGTGTATGGGGTTTATTATCTTTTTCATCTATTTTCATGTATGCTTGAACTTTTCTACTATAAGTGGTTTAAAATTTCAATGATTGAAACACCAATGTATATAAGAAAGAGGTATGTACAAAACTTTGTCCCAAACATTCTGAAATTTAAGGTAAACTGCACTCAACAAGCATTCATTTTATTTTAGAATTTGAGCTGCAATATTTAATAATGTAGTTTAAGTTATTCAGCGCCAGAACAGATTCTAAAAATAAATACAGAATTCATTAATTTAATTAATTCAAAATTTAAACAATGAGTTGCCATTTTGTACTTTTTCAAGCCAGCAAATCTAAAAGAAAATAATAAAAACAATACTGGCAAGACTGGAGGAAGGCAGGAGAGCACATTTATTGCTTGTGGCAGTATAAGTTGTTGCAGACCTTTTAAAATAACTTAGCTGAGTGTAAAGTAATATATACTCATTATTGAAATATAATAGGGTGTAGAGAAGTAAAGAGTATTTTAAAAGATAGTTGACTCATTTATAGCATTACAGATTATATTTCCTTCTACACTTAAAGTGCACATGGACATTATTTTGTTTTAAAATATTGTGTTAAAATAATTATATGAGCATAAATTTCTGGCATGCTTTTTTGTTTAACACATGAACATTTTTCATAACTCTTAATAGTCAATAATTTAAAAAAATTTAATAGCAGCATATCATTTCAGTGATTCTGGTCCTGCTCAGGTTTGAGAACCACCCACAAAAAGGATGCTGGTGGGGAGAGTAAGAGGCAGAGCACCAGAGCGTCAGCACATTTCAGGATGACTGGTGCCCCTGATGTCTGAACTTAGGCAGACGTCTGTTTTCTCATCTGTAAAATGGGGACAAGGGCCAGGATGCAGCTTGCGGGGCAGTACAGTAGGTGCCTCTGTGATTCCTTTGAGCTCCACATTTCTGGGCTATGTCTCTGATTCTGGAACCACGAAAATGTGGTATATGACATATTTTAAGAGCATTATTAAAATTGTGCAAAACCGATTTATATTGGGTGCAGGGGAGGAAATCACAAAGAAGTACTAAAAAGAGACATGGACATTGTGAAATTCCATTTGTGATGTTTTCAAGTTAATGTAATAATAAATGCACTTCTTAAAACATCGTCATTAAACAGCACACTAACAGTGCCCTGCTTTCTTTAGGTTTCTGAATTGAGACAACAGCTTCGAATACGAGGCTTGCCAGTGTCAGGCACGAAGACAGCCCTCATGGACAGGCTTCGGCCCTTCCAGGACTGTCCTGGGAACCCCATGCCCAACTTCAGCGATATAACGACCGTCACTTTTCCTGTCACGCCCACCAACACCCTGCCCAATTACCAGTCCTCCCCTTCCACCAGCGCCTTGTCTAACGGCTTCTACCACTTCGGCAGCACCAGCTCCAGCCCCCCCATCTCACCTGCCTCGTCCGACCTATCGATGGCTGGGTCCCTGCCAGACACCTTCAACGACGGGTCACCCTCCTTCGGCCTCCACCCATCCCCTGTGCACCTCTGCCCCGAGGAAAGCCTTGTGAGCAGCCTGAACGGGGGCAGTGTGCCTTCTGAGCTGGATGGGCTGGACTCTGAGAAGGACAAGATGCTAGTGGAGAAGCAGAAGGTGATCAATGAGCTCACCTGGAAGCTGCAGCAGGAGCAGAGGCATGTGGAGGAGCTGCGCATGCAGCTGCAGAAGCAGAAGAGAAGCAAGTGCTCCGAGAAGAAGCCACTGCCCTTCCTGGGAGCCCCCATCAAGCAGGAAGATGCTGTCTCCAGCTGCCCTTTTGCATCCCAACAAATGCCTGGGAAAAGACAAAGCAACAACTCGGACAGCACAGCTCAGGCGTGTGAAGCTGCTCCACTCCTCCTGCCCCCTGGGAGCAGCCACTGTGTGGAGTCCTCTGGTCAAACCAACGTTCTTTCTTCCACGTTTCTCAGCCCACAGTGCTCTCCGCAGCACTCACCACTTGGGGCTGTGAAAAGCCCGCAGCATATTAGTTTGCCCCCCTCCCCAAACAACCATTACTTCCTAGCTTCGTCTTCAGGCACTCAAGGAGAAGGGCACAGGGTCTCCTCACCTGTCAGCACCCAGGGGTGTACTGCACAGGTAAGAACTCCTTGCTCCATGCCCAATGTACCCCTCCCACTGGAAATGGGATATAGATTTGCAACACTAAAGAACTGATGTTCCACTCTAACTGGGAGGGGTCAATGGTTGAAGCGTCGTCCAGTGTAGCACAGGTTGTGGGCTCAATTCCCTGTCAGGGCACATGCCTAGGTTGCAGGTTCCACCCCTAGTCAGGGCACATACAGGAAGCAACTGGTCAATGTTTTTTGCTTGCGTAGATGTTCCTCTCTCTCTCTCTCTCTCTCTCTCTCTCTCTCTCTCAAATCAATGAACATATTCTCAGGTGAGAATTGAAAACAAAAGAGCTGATGTTGGAACTTTCAATGGAAGTGTTTATCAAAAGTGCAACAGCAACTCCCAGACACCAAGACTCTCAGGCCTTCAGAGTAGACCAACTGGTTTCTCTGAGACAGGGAAGTTCTGTACAAAGCTAAATAATACTTTTGGCTTTGTGAGCATTATGGTCTCTGTCACAATTACTCAACTACACCCTATAGCACCAAAACAGCTGTAGACAACTTATAAACAAATTCATGTGGCTGTGTTCTAATAAAACTTTATTTACAAAAAAAACAAGTTTGACTCACAGGGCTATAGATTGCCAAAGCCTATTTTCAGGATTCCTTACCCTAGGTCAAAGCAATGCATTAGGAGAGCCAAATGGGGAGTTAACAGACCTTACTGCTCTCTCAGTGTGGTGGTCTGTCTGCAAAGTGCAAACAAACATTTACTGAGCACCTACTGTGTGCCAGGCCAGGCCCTTTTCTAGTCTCTGGGGACTAGTACTGAACTAGCCAAAAAAAAGAAAAACAAAACAAAACTCTATCCTCATGGGAAGGCAGACAGCAAACTTAAAATAAGAACTAAAATACATAATGTATCAGAAGATGATACATCTTATGGAAAGAAAGCAAAGAAGGCAAATGAGGAGTTTGGAAGTTTGCAACCTTAAGTAAAAATTCCAGGGACACTTGAGCAAAGCTTTGAAGGAAGTAATGGAGAAAGCCTTGTGAATATCTGGGGTGAAGGCATGTCAGCAAAGGAGGAAGAGCTAGGGCAAAGGCCCTGAAGTGGGAGCATGCATGTAATGTTCAAGCATCAGATAGAAAGCCAGTGTGGCTGGAATGAAGTGAGAGGAGAATTGTAGGAGATGGCCTAGAAGGGGAACTATTTCAAAGACTAAACTAAGAACATCATCAAAGACTTGGCATTCTCTATGAAGCCAAAGAATTATTAGGAGCCTCTATTTGAGTTTATCTGAGAAAGAAAATTATATTATCAAAAGTTTCTGAGCTCTATATCATTAGAAAGGGAATAGGAAAGAGACTCTTATTAACTGCATTCCTGCCATTTATATGTATGTCTGCGTAATGTATGTACATCTATGTCTATGTCTATATATATTTATGTCTATGAGGCATGTATATGATCGATCTTGTTCATCATCACAACAATCTTTGGGCTTCAAGTTATTATTCTTTACTTGCCACTGAGGAAAATGTAGTTCATGGAGGTTAAGCCAGTTGCCCAGGGTTGCACGAACCTGGAACTATCTGATTATAAAATACAAGCTCTTTTTACATGGAATATTCTCTATACTGGGAGTATGAGGTGTGGCCATAGGTAATGAGAATATATTTTTACAGACCTAGTAGAATAACACATTCAAATTAATGATGCTCACCCTTAATTGGCACTTTGGGAGGTGTTGGGGCTTAAATGTATCATTATCATCATTGATAACATTTATTAAATGTGTTGTATCCTGGGCAACCAAGGCAAAAGAACTCATTTTACCCAGTGCTAGACCATAAGACATTAGATTCTAATGATGTAGATACTCTCAAGAAGATACAAATTTATACAGTGATTTATGGTTTACAAAGCACTCTTTGAAGACAGGAATGATTACATGACAAAAAGATGTTGAACAATATAGATAACATTACTGACCTGTGTTTATGACATTGTGGTGGAGGTAAGGGTGGCAGATTGATCATGAAGGGGTAGAAAAGTCCAGGAAGGCTTTAGGAAGGGGTTGAACTTAAATGGGAGTGTAGAGTTGAAAAAGGAGAGTCGGGAAAAGGGCATATCATGAGAAAAAAGGATAAGGAGGTAGAATGTACAGGGCATGCTCAGGAAAGCTCATAGAAGAATTAGCAGAATTTAAATGTGCAGAAGGAACTAATACTTGACTGTGTAAAGTCTTGAACACTAATCTTGGCTAGAAGTAGAGACCCTATGCTGTGGATATGTCAGAGCCACTGCAAGTTTCTGAGCAGGAGGTAATACATACACAGCTGGAATTGAGACTTTGGTCATAGAATTTAAGCTAATACACCAGAACCAGTAAGGCTCCTCTCAAACACACCACAGGTAGGCATTTAATCTGTTGCTTCTTTCTTTCTACAGAGCTCAGGAGTGCATGAGGGCCATCCTCCAAGCTTCTCTCCGCAGCCTTCCAGCCTCCACCACCCTTTCTCTGGAGCCCCAGCAGACAGCAGTCATGGTGCTGGGGGAGACCCTTGTCCTAAAAGCCCAGGTGTACAGCAAAAGGTAGGCACATGATAAAGGGTTAAACTTGGGGTCAACTTTGCATTTTCTTTCTTCTGTGGCCTTTGTCCTCCCAATTATGAGGTTCAAAGCTGACATAAATGACATTTTAGATAGAAACAAGTACCCTTGAAAAGGTCTCAAAGGGATGCCCAGGTACTCCAATGGATCATTTCCTGGGATCATTCCAGAAGTCATGATGACTAAAAATGACCACCATATGTTTGTGACACTGCATGGCATGGCAAAGAAACCAGCTTCAGTGAAGTTGAAGATTGAATAGGGGAGTGTGGAAAAATAATGCTGGAGAAAGAGTGAAGTATGTGGATCTGTGGCAAGGGTTGGAAGGATACAGAAAGTTGGGGGCACAGTGCAGTAAAAGGAAGAGATGGTACATATCAGCAGGTGGAAGAATCAGGGACATGAAGGTCCCAGGATACGGGGAGTTCCAGGAAGCAATGAAGAGGTGATAAAAAAGAGCAAATGTGAGATGGTCATTACACAAAAGTCCTACATGCCACAAGCCAGACAAGGCATCCTTTAAAAACAGAGGCCCCGAAATGGCCCAGGCTGAACACAGACCCACCTACAGTACACAAGGCTGGTTCTTGAAGGGATTTCTCCAGCAGCATCCCCAACTCTCTGCAAATATTCCCAGTTAGGAATGAAACAGCCTAGAGGATAAATTACTCCAGAAACTCCTAGGGTGATGGACTTCTTTGTATTGGACTCTTTTACTTTATTTCCTCTCCTTGTCATGCTTTCTCCTAACTGAAGAGGGTGTACCTTAGAGAGAGATGAATCTGTGAGGTTCTCATGAAAGATGCCTCCAGCAATAAGTCCATGGTGATATACACTACTGTTAACCTACTGGATTTGTTTTCTAAGTGCTAACTCCTTTCCACCCTCAAATCAATTTTTCCAAAATTTAGCATGTAATTCCTAATACAGAAGTAGTCCCATTTCTGACTCACAAATTGATTGTCTATTTCTGCATTTTGTTCACACAGATGGCTGGTTTACACTCTTCTGATAAGTCAGGGCCAAAGTTTTCAATTCCATCCCCAACATTTTCTAAGTCAACTTCAGCAGTTCCAGAGATAACACAGCCTCCATCCTATGAAGATGCAGTAAAGCAGGTAACAGTATGAATTGTTCTTTATAGAAGAATGGGTTGGCTACATGGGACCTTGTTTTACAGGGTGCGACTTCATGCCTGTGGGTTCCAGTATCAAGTGCATCTGGTGTCTGCCCACCAGAATGGACAGAGTGTGTAGGTGCTAACTATAGAAGGGTGCTGATGCATACATAAGCTGTGTGAGGCTGAGGGAAGAGGTTTGTCTGGGCACCCAGGTGGCTGGACTTGGTGCCAGCTGGGCCACCAAACAGTTGCCTCTGCCACTAAGGCTGGGAATGCTCAACTTCTCTGACACAAAATAGGGCTGATATCTCCTTTAGAATGATTATAGCACTTAGCACCTCGTCTGGGCGCAACTCAAACCTATGCTAACAGTCAGAATGACATTTTGTAAGGTCCTTTCCTGCTTCAGATTTCACTGTTCCTGGCAAAATGTTGATGGTTATTGAGCTGGGTGACAATGGAGGTTCATTGTATCCTCTACTTTCATTTATGTGTGAAAAATTTCAAAATAAAAGGTAAAAAAAGAAGCAATTAATGATCTTACATTCCGAATGGCCTGAGTTGGTATCAAGTAATGGCTAGCCCTTCATATTTTGTGGAAAAAAAGATCTGCATTGTCTCCTGCATACTAGTACCCCACCATCACATCAGGTTTCACTTGGCTTAGAAAGTATTTTAAATATTAGGAGATTTTATGCAAAATGTAGGCTTTTTATTTCTGAAAAATTAGGGGATCTAGCTATACTAAGGCCACGATTCTGCTAGAAAACAATCACCTGAAGCAAAGATTTGCTGCCTCCTTGAACCATAACATACATTTTACAATCTACCCTTCTCCTTTGTTCTATATTTGGCCCATTCACATAACCTGTCAGACCGTGTACGCATCGAATCCTCCTGGGCTGGCAAATGACATTCTCTGAGCAGTGCTCCCATCCGTATTGATTATTGACACCTGTGTTTATTGGGACTGCAGTCTCAGAGGAGTGACATCAATCTGTGTCTTACCCTGATATCTGTGAACATCAACTCATCCTTCACAGTTTCAAAAGAAAAGAATAAGGCCAAGCAAAGTGGACTTCCATAAATAAGATTCCACTTAACCCCAATGAGCCAGAAGGGAGGGGTCAATTTCCTTCAAGTGTTGACAGGTTCCACAAACTATTCCAATGGGAACTAGAGAAATATGAGCCACATTCTTGGGCCACATTCACTTCCAAGTGGGATGAAGGGCCAAAACCCAGTTACACTCATGTTCATAGCAGTATTAGTCACAAAACCTGAAAGGTAGAAGCAACTCAAGTGTTGCTTCCCCAAGAGGACAAAGAGAATGTGGTATAGACAGACAATGAATGTTGTTCACCCTTAACAAGGAAGGAAATTCTGACATGGATGAACCTTGAAGGCATTGTGCTAAATAAAAAAATTAAAAGTCACTGAAGGCAAAATACTATGTATGAATCCACTTATATATGTTATCTACAGTAGTCAAATTCATAGGGGCAGGAAGTAGAATGGTGGTTGTCAGGGTCTGGGAGAAGAAGAGAATGGGGAACTGTTGATTAATGGGGACAGAGTTTCACTTTTACAAGTTGAAAAAGTTCTGGAGACAGATAGTGGTGATAGTTGCACAACAATGTGAACATACTCAATGCCACTGAACTGTGCACTCTGAAATGGTTAAGATGGTAAATTTTATGTTCTATGTATTTTACCACAGTGAAAAATACAACTAACCAAGTCTAGTTCAAAAGCCTGTAGTGCTTATTCTAATGATCTGTCTAAGAGGTAGCTGCCTTCTGACTTCTCTGTTCTCCTTCGGTTAATTTGTAACAGCAGATGACTCGCAGTCAACAGATGGACGAACTCCTGGATGTCCTCATTGAGAGTGGAGGTGAGATGCCATGTGCCTTGCCCATTGTGATGCTCTGCTTCTGCATGTCCTCTAGGGAGCAAACTCGGATGCTTACTGTAAATGGAACCAAACCTCTATGGGAAGAGTGGTCTCTCCATCTGAGCTTCCTGTCCACTTTGAGCAGATGAAGGAAAGCATTAGTGGATGATGCTTCACTGCCTTTGTCTCTTTGTCCAGGGAACACTTTCACCAATCATTTTAATGGGTTTCATGTTTCCCTAATGTTTTTCTTGCTATACTATTTCTCTCTACTGTTCTAATGTCAATGTCCGTATCTTCTTAATTAAGAAGAATAAGCAGATAAAGCAAGTTTTTGTGCCACCTACTCAAAATGAAATTCAATTAGTAATGTCCCATTGGATGGTCCATTCATGCTTAAATATCATTCAAGCTAACAATAAAAAATTATCAACATATTCTTTTTGCCTTATTTATTTATTTATTTATTTATTTATAATTACATAGTATATGCTTAGAATTTGAAACCATACTAATGAATAAGGTCACATAAGGAGTAGGTGTTGATAGAAAGGAAAAAACCTCAGGTCTGACCCTTAAGTAACAACACAAAGTTTCAGAGAAAGAGTGTCCAGGCGGCTGGCTCAATGCTGCACTGGACCAAGTCCCTACCTCTGTAGAGTCTGCAGTCTAGTAAGGCAGACTGACAATGAGTGAACAGGGAGGTCCTCCACTGTAACAAGAGAAAAGAAGGCAAAGATGGGCACAGATGTGGGTATCCTTATAAGTTTTATGATGGAAAGATGAGAAGGTTCAAAGCAGACACCTTTATATTTTAAGTAAAATGTGTGGTGAGGTCAGCAAAGAATGTGCAGGAAGGGAGCATGAGGGATTTGAGGAGAGAAGGAAAGTTATGAATCAATCATGAATTAATTGGGTTTTCTAGAGAAACACAGTAGATTCCTCCACCACAGATTTAAAGGAAAACTAGTCAGCTTCACTGTGTAATTTTCCTCTTACAATGTCCAACTGATCCAGGGCAGGCTCAGAAAATACAGATTGTAAGATTCACCCAAGTGTGGGGTTTTGTCAGGGGAGAATGGTGGAAGGAGAAAAGTATAAAGATATAGAGGATATTTATAAAAGAATAATTATAAAGGTGGACCAGAGTATATAGCCTGGACTAGCACAGAAATAAAAACCAGAAGGGACTGATGAATGGTGATAAAATAGTAGTGTCGGTAGATTGGAGTGACTCCAAGTGGTGGAGAAGTTGTTGTCCTTGGATAAGCTGTAGAAAAAGGAGGGGATGGATTGAAGGTGGGAAATTTTGTTTGAAATTGAGCTTTCAGGGGAATGCAGTATTTGGAAATGACAAGGTCCAGCATGTGTCCAAGAGTGAGCTTAAAGGAATCACTGAAATTGAAGGCAATGGCAGTATCAAGAAACTGCGAGGTGGATAATGGGTCACTTCTGAGGATGCTGAAGTTACATGGAATGACAAGAGTTTATGTGGGGAAAAGACAATAAACTGAGGAATAGTTTTCAGTGGATGAGGAAGAGTGGCCAGGAGGCTGGGGTAGGGTGAAATGGCAGGGAAGGCAGCATGACCCTCAAAACCACTGAGGAGTTATAAGAAGGTGGGGAGTGACAATCAGAGTGGCAGCAGGTAGCACCCAGGAAGACTCACTTTCTGGCTCTGAAGCAAATGAGCCCACATTGAGGATGTAACAGAGGATGCAGTGTCCTCAGGGAACAGCCAGGTGTCAGTGAAGGAGCAGGTAAAGGAAACTACTTTGAGAGTTTAACAAACATAGAGTGAAATTTCCAGAAAGAAAGGATTTGGAGAGACACTGGGGGCAGAGGGTGAGGAGAAGAATCAGGGATATATAGAGCAGCCTAGGATGAGACAGGGTGATGAGCAATGACCAGAGAAGTAGATCCATCTCCTGTATCTAAGTGTAATTCATTCATTCCAAAGATTCACAGTGTGTGGTGTGCTCTATGTGAAGTGATTTGACACTTTGCATTATGTTTTAACAACAGAAATGCCCGCAGATGCCCGAGAGGATCATTCATGTCTACCAAAAGTCCCAAAGATGCCCAGGTCTTCCCGAAGCCCTACTGCTGCCCTCCCCAAGCCCTCAGCTTCCTTTGAACAAGCATCTTTAGGGGCCCAGCTACCGTTCGATCACTATGGCACAGACAGTGACGAGCACCTTGAAGTCTTATTAAATTCCCAGAGCCCCTTAGGAAAGGTGAGCGATGTCGCCCTTCTAAAAATTGGGAGTGAGGAGCCTTCTTTTGATGGCATGATGGATGGATTCTCGGGAAAGGCTGCAGAAGACCTCTTCAATGCACATGAGATCTTGCCAGGCCCCCTCTCCCCGATGCACACTCAGTTTTCACCTTCTTCTGTGGACAGCAATGGGCTACCGTTAAGCTTCACCGAATCTCCCTGGGAAACCATGGAGTGGCTAGATCTCACTCCGCCAAGTTCCACACCAAGCTTCAGCTCCCTCACCACCAGTGGACCCAGCATCTTCAACATTGATTTTCTGGATGTCACGGATCTCAATTTGAATTCTCCCATGGACCTTCACTTACAGCAGTGGTAGAACGCCTGACGCACAAGTGCTAAGAAAGACAAATAGAATTTCACAACCATAAATATTTATATTATTCAAACAGAGGAGCAGGAGTGGGGAAGGAGGAGATTGAAAAGAAGTGATGGAGACTTCTGTGACAACCAACAAGCACAAATAAGAGTCATTATATATATATACTGTAATATTTACCAACATTCAATGACTGTTAATGACTTTAGTAATGCTCTTAAAAATGTGCTTTCTCAGATCAAAAATGCCAAAAAAATTCTTTCACTACCTTTTCAAACACCAGTATTTTTTCTAGCCCATAATTTAATTAAGGTATTGTTAGGGCATAATCTCACGTCATAAGCTTTTCTTGTGAGTTTATTGGACCTACTGTGGAAAGAAAATGTAAATTCTTTGGGGAATACAGGGAAGTGAATCCATCAAAGATTATGAAAGGCATACCTGTGATGGAAGCTGATTCTCATCTCTCCACTACCTGCCTTTCAAAATACCATTAAAGCCCAATTTCAGTTATGGAGTTCTTGAGGCAGAATAGAGGGACTGAATCAATTCTTTCCCAGGGAAGCAGAATCAACTCAGTGTCCCTCTGCCACAAAGCTGCCCCATTGGAGTGGTTTCCAATCTTCTACCCAGGACTCTGTGTGGTCACTGATAAAAACTAACCCACCCAGAACTTCCCTCTTTCTCAGCCAACTAGCCAAATCACTCCCACTCTCTCTGTGGTGATAAGCATTGCCAAACAGACAAGAAATTCCTGCCATGGAAGGTTCTCCAACACAATACCTTTTAGTTCCAAAGTTTAGTGATGACCACCCAAGCAGATCAAAGGGTCTGTCTAGCCTCAGGAAGCCCTGTCAGGGACAATTCAGAAACACTAGAGAACATTGTTTCACATATCATGGGAATATGTACCAAAATACCAATCCTTTCTTGCTTCTCTTTTGAATATATATTTTTTCCTGCCCCAACATTGGGAGAAGAGGACTTCTCACATCTAAGAATCTGCCATATTCCTAGTAAAGCCATATTTTAAAAAGCTAAAACTCCAGGTTTTCCTGGAAAACTCCTTCTCCATATGCATAATTTGCTGCCAAAGGAAGTTGAAAGAATGTCCTTAGGAAGAAACTGGTGACTTAGCCCATTGGTCACAAAGCTCATTCTACCCTCATTTGATGTACAGCAATCATTGATTTGGGTTGCTCTGGGGGAGTTGGAAATCGTTATATTGTAAAGATAAATATGAAATACATTAACAAGGAGAGAGTATTTTAGGTATGGATTTCTGAAAGAAAACACAATTGTGTATTGAAGATGATGGAAGGGAGAACAGACAATGGTTTCGTGTGCATTCCTTATCACCTCTTAGGCTTCGGCTGGGAGCTGAAAAACTCAGATGTCAGGACGGTCTCCCTAAGGCTCACTGTGGCTTCACCCCACTGTGTTTATAGTGTTGCATGCTGTAGAAAATAGTTCCTGCTGTTGTTTTTATAATTTAAATCACTAAGGCACTGTTTTCTCATTTTGTAAAAAATGTTGTTCACTGTGCACTTACAGAGAAAATAACCAAAAATGTTGTGATTTTAGTTCTCTTTTGATAAATTGAAGATTTAGAAGTCATTCCATTGTTACCTTGTTAACTTGTGTGAACAGAGTGTTTTTGGTGACTGCTACTCTGAAAGCTGCCAGATCTTACTGGGGGGGGAGGATATATATAAAATACACACACATGCACATGTGATAAGTATATATATATGTATGTGTGTGTGTGTGTGTAGGCACACATACATATACATGTATGTATACATACACATGTGCATATGTGTATGCATCTTGAAAAGCAGTGTTACAGAGTTCTACACCAAAAACCTTTAAGCCTCGATCTGCTGTGAAATGATACTTGGCCTTTCTCACTGCAAGTTCTAATTAACCAACCAGACTACACGTTGCCTCTCTGTGTATGACTAATGGCTCCAGCCTGATGACTCACAGCCACTTGCTTACCATGAACAAGCTCATCTTGACAATGAATATGGATGTGAAAATACAGAATAGCTTCACCATTAGAAGCTGGAAATGGCAATACAGTCTCTCATAGAAGAGCATAAAAGGAACCTAAAAATTGTTTTACATTCCTTGATCGGCATTGTGCTTTAAAAGATCCAAATGGTAAATTTTTCATTTTGCTTTTATGTCAGTCATCAGAACCAAAAATCTAGAGGGAAAATTATCAGTCTTTTCTCTGAAGCCGAAGCATGGGAAGAAACCCTATTAACACATTCCTCATATTGGTTTATTCCTCAGATGTTGAAATTCCATTTGGATCTTAACAAAGCTTGCTGGTCAGTACATTTTTTCATGTGTTACATTGTGTGTTTTGTATGTTATTCCCCACCCCCTTACTTCCTTTGGAAAACAAACCATAGTGTCCCTACTATGAGACTGTGGTCTGAGTGTTAATTATTTTTTTCTTTGGGTATTTTTGTCTGAAGGAATAGACTTGGTTCGGAGGCCTCTGTACTTTGTAAGTTTCTGCATCTTTAGGGATCCTTTTAGGATATTACCTTGTACTGATATACACAACTCACAGTTGCCAAAAGATGGATCCTATTTGCTACTGCAAACCAGCAAACTCAACACAAATCAGACCCCTGGACTGTTGGTTGCAACCTCCTTCCACAGTCTCCACACAGCATATTCACTCTGTCTCTTCGTAGCTCAGATGGGGTGTTTATGGAATAAAATTGGGGATAATTGGGAGAAAATTGATGAAGTTGGGTTCTCCCCATGGGGGAGATAATTCATGGTAAAAATTCATCTGCCTCCTATTAAGAATTTTTCTTTTAAGTTCTTTTAAACTCTTAGTTGTGTACTCTATTTTGGTGACAAGTTGGACCTGACAAAAAGGTGTACAGAGACTTATAAAGATGACCATATTCATGTTTCTTAATGCCCTTAGAGCCTGAAAAGGACTACCTGTGATTTTCCTAATGCCCCTGGAATCTGTGGTGAAGCAGACCTGAAGATCTGCAGCCACTGTGAATGCTGTTGTAGCCCCTTAGGTTCATACTGATCCAGCGGAGTTGGGAAATTCATTCCTGCAAATGCTTCCATTAAGCCAGTACTCATTAGTAGTAGCCCTGCTTCTAAAAATGTTATCAATATGACACACACTTTCTATTATAAGGGACAGAGAGGGAAAGGGAAAAGAAAGGAGGAAGGAAGAGAAGAAGAAAGGAAGGAAGGAAGGAAGGAAGGAAGGAAGGAAGGAAGGAAGGAAGGAAGGAAGGAAGGAAGGGGAAGGGAGGATAGAAAAAAGGAAGGAAAAAAGGTCCAAATTTCCTGATCTATGAGTCTTTCAGTTCAACTGAGACATTGCATGATGAAAAGTCATTCTTTAAAAATGCAACGATTGCACCATAAACAAGGAAACCAAGAGAGTCTCCATCTGAATAGTCAAGGGTCTAGGAACTGGAGACCTTTCCTATTCAAACATGTATTTCCAGTCCGGGGGTGGGGGGGGGGGGAGAGAGAGAGAGAGAGAGAGAGAATGGAGAGAAACTATCCCAAGCATTTGAGACAATCCTTTTCAAAAATTATTTAAATTCTATCAACTCTCTTAAAAACAGATCATGGTCTAGCTGAAAATTCCTGCATCAAATTCATTCATCCAGTGAATAATTACTTGATGTTTAACCTGTACAAATCACAAAAATCCTCAGATTTCCAACACCACACTGACTCAGCACAAGTGGTTTAGATTTTGGGTGGCTAGGGGGTTGCAGTTGTTATGAGGATGGACACTGGGAATCTCTCCCAGTCCTCAATCCAGAAACCCTTTAGCTATGATAAAAAAGAGGGGTCATCATTTTTCCAAGAGGGAGAGCAGGGGGCTATTTTTTAGCTAAGAGCTGTCACCCACACAAATATCCTGTTCTTGCCACTTTCTCAATGATCAAACAGCAGCGGTACATCACTTGGAGATCTTTCATTATCTCCCACCACTTCAAACATTTGTGAGAGTTTTAGAGTTCATTTTTATCTCTGGATACAGGGCCCCTTGAAAATCCGTGATGGGAGAAGAAAACACTTTTTTTCCCCTACCGCTTATGTTCAGTCTCCATATCAAGCTCTCTCTACAATGGGGACACTTACCAGAGGGGAGGGGTTGTCCAAGGTGAGCCTCCACCTCTTGGCAGGAAAGCTGCAGAGTGCAAAGGCATGTGGGCCTCCCCTTTGAGGTTTGGCTGCATTCTCAAGGTGGGAAACCCCCAAATGTGGGCATACTGTGTGCTTCAGATAAGAGAGAACTTGAGGTGAAGAGTCTGGGGTCTTTGTTTTCCTATAAATCCAGTGTGAACCTGCAAGGTGGTTCAGATGCTGAAATTGTTAGTGCTTTATTAGAAAGATAATATTAATAGACATGCAGAGTCTGGGTCCTGAAAAGAAAAAAAGATGGCCTTATAAGGCTGAGAGCTGCTCAGGTTGTGTGAAGGAGCTGGGTTCTATTCAAGAATCCACATTTTCAGGGGACCCCAGGATAGGTTGAGACTATGCATGAAAAGATGATTTTAAACAAAACAAAAAAGATTCTGGAAGAATGTTGCTATCATCTGCCAGGGAAACTGTAGGATTCACTGCATTCAATAACATACCAGTAAGTTTCCCTTCTGATTCTAGGATTTGGAAATATTCCCTGTGAGTTTAGACAAACTCCTAAATGTCTCCTGTGCTTATTTTAACCACCTGCTGGTACATGGGTTTCCTGTGAATGTTTTATCAGCCCCTGACTGTTTATGGAAAGGGAGTACAACAATGGGGATCCTGGATGCCATTCTAATGTTTTCCAAAGGAAGGGAACCCACACTGCCCCCAGCACCCCTGCCAGTGTGCCCACCTGCAATGAAGAAAGAGGGTGATGCCATGCTAGGTGCTTGAAACCTTCTCTTGCTGCAACATGTCGAGGTGCTTTGTAAAGGAATCAAAAGACCAAGTATACATTCTCTATGGGGCCCCTGTGTGGCATTGTTTTCATGTTGGTCTCCTTTGCTCAACTATGCATAAATGAGAAAGAAGTGTGTGTTACCAGGAAGAGGAAAGAAGCAATGGCTAAAATACCAAAGTTGGCATGTGTTCCTTTTATATACATATATTTTTAAATAAAATGTTTATTTTAAAAAGATATAAGCTTCTTCCTTGACTATATGATGTACGAGGTACTGTACTATGCACAGTAAGTCTGTCATTTCCTTTTACCCTCACAGTGGTGCCATGAAGTGGCACTATTATTAATCCTATTTTATCATCCCCATTCTACACATGAAGACACCAAATTTCAAAGAATTTAAGTTGATTAAGGTTACATACCTAAAAAATGGCAGAGCCAGTAGGCAAGCTTTGCTTATCATCAAAGCCCCTGATTTTCAAAACTGCAGATGTCACCTTCACTTGCTGCTGGCCATACTAGTAACATGAGGACTTTCATGAAAAGGACTGACTTTCAAAGTACATATATGCCTATTAAAGTACATGCACACACAGCTTAGTGAACCCAACGTTTTCATTGGCTTAGCAACTAAGCAAACTGAATAACAGAAAATTAGGCTTCAAGATGACCTATAAGATATATATAGAATATGTAAGTAGGACCCAGGATTTATCTGCTTTTCTCTCCTACCTATATTCCTGACTGTGATATTTGCATCCATGATTATATAAAATGCATGGACAAACTGAGATGTTGTGGAGAGACCTCTGGAATGGGAGTCTCTTAGGATTGATTTTGTTCCATGTCATGGCTTAGCTTTCCCACTTTGGCCTTATTTTCTGGTGATCTTTCCCCATGTGGAGGCAAGAAGGTCACAGGTTGCCAGCAGCCACAAATGTGCATCTGGCCAGGTTAGCAATTCCAGTCAATGAGACTGTCTCATTCCTGAGTCCCGGCAGGAATCTCTTGGTGGTTCGGAGAGGGGAGAGTCATAACCATCCTTCTCACCTTGAGAATGAGGCACAGATTCATTCAGTTCACTCACACAGCTTGGGTTCCCTCATCATCCCTGAGCTGGGAAGGGGGAGCATTTGAATCTCATGGACTGACTGTAGAGAAGGTGAGACTTTCTGAGGACAAATCGTGGTGCTATTACCAAAAAGAGGCATGATGCCAAAAAGACACAAGCAGTAGATTTCTACTACACAGACCCTGCTTTCAAGCTGGGCATCTAGTGAAGGAGACAAACAAGTACTTAAGGAATGATACTTACTCTAATTGTGGGAGTAAGTACATACTATGTACTATAGGAAGGGCCTTTCATAAATCCATGGGCAAGAGCATGGTCCAGAAGGACTCTCCAGAATAGACCATTAAGTCAAGACACTAATGACATAGGAGTTAACCAAGCAAAGGCTGAGGAAAAGAGCATTTCAAGCAGAGGGACAGCCTGTGCAAAGGCCTGGAGATGAGAATTTACCATGTTGAAGGGGATGTAAGGACTTCAGGATGGCCAGAGATTAAAACAAGGAGGCAGAGGGAATTAATGGTAGAGATGTGGGAAATGTAGGAGAAGTTGGGAGCTGTATTAGTTTGCTAAGGCTGCTGTAACAAAGTATCACAAACCAGGCATCCTAAACGGTGAAAATTAATTGTCTCAGGCTAGAGGGCTTAAGTCAGGGTGTTGGCAGGGCTGGTTCATTCTGAGAGCTGAGGGAAGAATCTGTTCCCAGCCTCTCTTTGGCTTGTAGTTGGCCATCTTCATGTTCACATGGCATTCTCCCTGTATCTTCTTACATGTGTTCCTGTCCAAATTTCTTCTTTTATATGGACATTAGTCATATCAGATTAAGGCCCACACTAAAGACCTCATTTTAACTTGATCAGTTCTGCAAAGACCCTGTCTCCATGGTGATATTCCCCAGGAATAAAAACTTTAACATATGAATTTGGAGGTGGGGGCCACAGTTCAACCCATAATAGGAAACAAACAGGGGCCAGATCATGAAGGGCCTCATAAGATATTTTAAGGAGTATGAACTTAACTTTAAAACAGTGGGGTACCATGAAGAGTTTTAAGCAAGGAAACACTGTAATAATCTTTATGTGTCAGAAAGATAACTGGCTACACTGTGGAAATGAATTGGAAAGACAATGAAAGGAAAGCCCGATAAATCTTTGTGAACTAGTTTGATAAGTTGCTGTTGTCCTCTTTATTCCAAAGACATAAAAACTTAAAGTGAAATGATGAGTAACCCAACATGTCAGATTTGATATATCTAGAATGATGGGGTGGGGTTGGGGGTAAGAGTGAAGGTGGTGACTTAAGAACCTGTTGAAATACACCAGCCAAGAGGCAAATCACAGTTCTGCTAATAAAGTGCTGGTAGGAACAGCAAGATGAAGGTAGATTTGAAACATGTTAATAGAAGAGAAAGTATAAACTTGATCATTGGATGTGGATAGTGAAAGAGAAAAGGAATTTGGATTTGGGGGAGGGATAGTTGGATGTTAGGTATATGTTAATTTCATTCAAAGAGACAAAAGGCCAGAATGAGGAATAGTTACTTGATTTGATGGGAAAAGTTACAAATTTGATTTTTAAGAGCCTAGTGCCTGTGGGGCCTCAAGTCAAAAGAATCTGTAGAGAAGTCTGGAACACAGAGTGTCTTTGCATAGGAATTTAAGTACCAGAGTGCTCAGTATACAGAAAATAACTGAAATTGCAAGAATGGCTATGGTTTATGCCATGGGTGGATGACAATAAAAGAGGATCCTGAGGGAGATCAATATTTAAGATATTAGTGAAAGAGCCCTGGCTGGTGTGGCTCAATTGGTTGGAACATCATAGTTTGCACCACACAGTTGGGGGATCAACTGCCAGTAAGGGCACATGCCTAGGTTGCGAGTTCAGTCCCTGGTTGGGGTAGGTATGAGAGGCACCCAACTGATGTTTTCCCTCTCACATCGATGTTTCTCTCTCTCTCTCTCAAATCAATAAAACATTAAAAAAATATATTTATATTTTATAAACAAATATATTTTAATAATATATTTTTTAATATATAAATAAATGGTTAAGTAATATATATTTATATATCTAATTAATTCATATCTAGTTAATTAATTAATTAATTATATGCAAAAGAGAAAGAAAGGAAGTGGCTAGAAAGCCAGGAGGAAAACCAGGAGAAGGTGGTGTCCCAGACACTGAAGCAGAAATTTCAAGGAAAAGGGA